AATATTAATTTTACGGAAGTGGAGGTTCCGCTGGATAGGGTTACCATAATTGTCATTTGTATATCCAACTAAGTATCAGGTATTTTTCTTTGTGAAATAAAGGCAAAATTGTTTATAGTTATGAATGTATCTTTTCTTTCAGCTAATGTTAACCTATTTTCCCTTTGCTTTCATCCCTCTTTCTTTTTTCTTCCTATTATTCAGACTATAAAAATCATTGTTAACAAAAACTTCAAAGGCTCTGTATGTTTGGGGAATAGAATTATACTTCATTCTGTAGCTTCAGCGGTCCAAGAGTCTTCTGATTCACTCTGTAGTTGAGGCAAGTGTTAGAAATGATCACCAGGCTACTCTATTTGTATGGGTGTATTGGTGCTTTTGTAGGCAAACGTGGTATAAACATCCTAGAATAATTAGCTGTTGAACGAAGGATTTTACTGTGGAACTGTTTGAAATTGTGTCCTTTCTGTAGTCACAGCTGTTTAATTCTAATATGTTACTTTGCTGTATATATTTTCTTCTTCAGATTCTCAGATGCGTTACGAATTCTGACATGTGACATATCTCAAAATAAACAAAACCGAGTTGAGTATTTTAACAGCACCAGTACTTCAGGTAATTTTAAGAAAACAATTCCTATGAAAATTTAAGGATGAAAATTTTATTTTGCTTAAAAATCTTAAGTATTCTTATGTACTAATTCTCCAGAACAACTAGGTTTCTATCAAAAATGGGAAAAAGTGTAAAAAATTGTATTTTAAAGCTTATTTACTAATTTTCATTTTATGGTTTCGGGGAAAAATATGAAAATAGTGTCGATAGTTTGTATAAAATAAACATATTAAAATGAAAAAAACTGTAAGTTCTCTTCACCCCTCTGTCTACAAAGATGGGTAACCACTGTCCATAGTTTCTCATTTAACCTAGCAGAGCTTTTCCAAAATATTTCCAGTATGTGGAGAGCTTCCTTATGCTTTCAGTGGCCATTAGTTTTTCAGAAAATCTAAGATATCATATATAAATTTTCCAGTAAATATTTTTATGCAAATGTTTTGGGCTATCATTATTTATAATAGTGAAAAACTGAAAATCTAAATGTACAACAAAATGGGATTGGTTACATACTATAAAATACTCTAGTCATTTAATTTAGATTTATAAAGCTTATATAATATGGAAAATGCCCATTTATGATATTAAGACTAAAATATAGATAACATTTTCTTATCTTTACTTTCCTCTCGTTTAACAGTTATTTCTAGATGTTAATTTGGAGGTTTATTTCTCTCATTTGTGCTTTAATGTATTTTCCAAAATTTCTTTAATTATGTATATTACCTTTGTAAGCAAGATTAGGCTTTAAGAAAAATACATAGTCTATCTTTAAATTTAAAGGAGATTTAAAATAAATTGTTCTAAACTATTTCATTAGTGTCTTAGATAGAAAATGTAACTGAATGTCAGTGCCATACAGCTACAGAGCACTGAGGGCCACACCAGTGGTGAGTAAGCTGAGTTTATTACTGGCTGCCGCAGTGGAGAATGCACACCATGGCAAACTGGGGCATCTCTGTAAAGCAGTGTTAGAAAGGACTTGTAGGATTCAGGCTTGAGTTAGATGCTTCTGAAGAGTATCCAAGGAAATGTGGGTTTGTTTTGAATTGGGTGCAGTCAGTGACAATTCTGTGATTGAACATCTTGATAAATCTTATCTAGAAGGAAGGCTGGCTACAGGGAGACCAAAGCTGTAATTGGTAAAGGAGCAGCTACTTATATCAGACGACATAGGTGGCCGTTTTTTCATTTTTGTGGTGTGGAAAATGCTCACGTTTTGTCTGTATTCAGACATGGTTACAGAGTTGTCTTGTTTTTGACTTGAATCATCATGGGCACGGAGTGGCCTTATCTGATGTTGAAGTTCTGTGAAATAGTTTATGATTAACAGGAGAACACCAGGGCTGAGCTGAGTCCCCAGCCAGCTTGTAGCAACACCAAGGCCTCAGCGACAATACTAGGACAGCTCCTGGATGGAAGGAGCTGCTTTTCTCTTTATCAGAGAGAAAGCAATTGAAATGATACCAAAATTAGTTAACATTTGATTTGAGAGGTTTGAATTTTTATCTGTTTCCTTGTAAGAATCCATGACTGACTAAAAGAAAAATTGCAGAGAAGGAAAAAAGAAAAGCTGGCAGGGAGAGGGGTGTTGAAAACCCATAGTTGTACTAAACAACTTAAATCAAAATTTAACTCCTCAACTTTCAGCCAGTATAGTTTATAATTAATTTTTCTTTCTGTTACAGTAGAAGCCGTTGAAGGTTTTCAGTGTTCACCTTACCCTGAAATTGATCAATTTGTTCTCTCTCTGGTGAATAAAAATGGCATTAAAGGAGGTAAAAAATAACTTATTCTTTATTAACTATTATATGTATGATACAGTAATAATACTTTTAGAAACATTATTTGCATTTCAGGAATTCGGCGTTGGAACTACTTTTTTCCAGAAGAATTACTAGTTTATGATATTTGTAAATATCGCTGGTGTGAAAACATTAGAAGAGCCCACAAGAGTAATAATATCATGTAAGTAATACTGTCTGTTAATGAGTTCTGTGTGTTTAATAAGTACATTTTAAATGTTTGTTATAAAATTTTTTAAGTTGAGAATATAAAAATGATTTTTTTATAATAGATTTAGTTGTAATTCAATTTATATTTTATTTGGTTTGTGTTTTTTAATGTTTAATTTGTATGTCTTAAATATTACCTTGCTTCTAGTCCGTGCATCTTTATTTGGTAAAATAATTCCTTAGATAGTTTAATCTTGAGGATTAAAGTGGAATTGAGCAGGGTTGGAAGGAAATGAGAGGCCGTAGCCATTGGCCCTTGACACCTATGGAGTCTAAATCAAAGATGAGCAAATTTGGGCAAGAAGGAAACTACTCAGTTAGTGTTTAAGAAATGGAGTTAAGGTTATGTGTTAACACATTCAAGACAAAGAATGGTATAGAAGGGAACCAGTATTTATTGAGTGCTTGCTGTATATGCCAGGCCCTGTTTTTGGAGTTTTATTTTAAATGCCCCTGGCAAAAGGAGAGGGAGAAAGGATTAAGTAAAGCCAGAAATTGAATTTTAAATAATATAAGGAGATGTTTAAAATAGAGGTAAAATAGAAACCCAGTAGTTATCATTTATGATGTGAGAAATTTTGTTATGTTTTAATACTTAACATCAAAGCTGAGACTTCGCTATAGTAAGTGTTTACAGCACATGGGCCAGATGTGACACAATGATCATGAAGCTTTTGTTGGAAAGCTGGAAGACATGTTGGGTATCGCGATTCAATGCTATACCTACATATGTAGATTAATTCAGTTTAAAAAAAAAACAGCTTTAAAAACTCTACGTTCAGTACACAAAGCTGTAACAGAAAAACACAAAAAGACCACCCATAGTCCCAGAACCAGTGATAACTATGGTTATGCCTTTGGTGGATCTTTCTACGTCTTTTTTTCTACGTGTAAGAGTTTACCAGAAAATCATTATCAGTCATTGATCATCTTTTAACTTTTTGGGGTTCTCAGGTTGCTATATATTTCTTTCTGAAGAATGACCAGGTTGTATTATATATCCATAACGTATTCTTTTTCTTAACTGTGAAATGTATCATACATATAAAAGTGTGTCTAATTTATATGTACATTTTAAGGATTAATACTAAAATAACTTGTCATATCTGCCACCCACTATAAGAAACAGAATTTATCTGAACCTCAGAAACACCTTGTGGGCCCAACCCCAATTTCTTCAGACACTGTAGCTATTATCCTGGATTTGTGTTCATCTTTCCCTTGTTTGCATATGTATGGTTTTTCCATATATATTTGTATCCCCAAACAATATATTATTTCATTTTACATGTTTTTGAATCTTATGTAAGTTGCATCCTTTGACTTGCTTTTTGGTCAGCACTCTGTGAGGTTCATCCATACTGCAGCAGGTAGCTGTTGCTTACTTACTCTTTTTTCATTATTGTGTAGTATGTCATTATACACATATAAATATACTAGTTCACCTGTTGTCCTACTGTGGACATCTGGCTTGCGGTTATAAACAGTGAAGCTACAAATATTCTTGTATATATCACTTAGTGCACATACGCAGCAGTTTCTCAAAGTATTTATCTAAAAGTAGGATTGCTATGTCATAGAATATGCACATATTTAATTTTATTAGATAATTATTTACTCAAATGGTCATGCTACTTTATACTCCCATCAGCAGTGTTTTCAGATTTTCTACTGCTCCATAGTCTCACCAACACTTTATTAAAATTGTTAGGTTTTAAAACTTTGTTTTGCTAATCTGGTGATTGTAAAATGATACTGTGGTTTTCATCTGAATTTCCCTGATTACTAATGAATTTGAGGATTGGATTGTCAAAGCTCACTCATATGAAATCACAGATCTTACCTAGTGTTAAGCTTTAATAGTAGCTCCAAAGATACAGGGAATGAAAGGGACAGGTGAAGCAGTGCTGAGGCTGGGGTAGCTGGCAGGGCTCCCCCCTGTCCTTCCTGCCCTGGATGCTCTCTGATTCAGGCTGCAAGCTGAGGCAGAAGTGAGCAGGGACTGCACGTGGCAGAGTGCTGAGGTTATGACACATCTGTGTTTTATATTCGTAGTTACATAGCCTGTGTGACATGTCTAGGGAACTGTGCCTCATAAACCCATAGACTCTAGGTTTGTTTACTGTATGCAGAAATCAGAAACATCCTGCAAACAGCATGCTATACATAAGAACTTTCCGCCTAGCAGATTGCCGTCGGCCCAGAGGTTTCCGGAGTTGCTCAGTTGGTGGTGCCCTTAGTATCTTAGTAATTTTCCCTCATTGCTCCAAGGGCAAAAGGAATACCTAATAGTTCTCTTTATTAATCATTTTCAAGCAACTTAATACGTATTTGTCCTAATAATTTAGTAGCTCACTGAAAAAACAATACTCGTCAACTGAAAGAAAATGTTTTTATTTTATGTATAATTGACATATAACACACTAGTGCCAGGTATGATGATTCTATATTTGTATACATTGCAAAATGATCTCCACAAGAAATCTTACATCCATCACCATGCAATGATGCATAGTTAGAATTTTTTTTCTTGTGATGGGAACTTTTAAGATTTACTCTTACCAGTTTTCAAATATGCAACACAGTATTAACTACAGTCACTGTACATTACGTCTCCATGACTTAATTTATAACTAGAAGTTTGGACCTTTTGACCCTTCCTAAATATAATTATTAGTGGGATGTGTGTCCTTTTGAGCCTTGCATACACAACCTCTTCAACCTTGGATCAGGCTGGGTATTGCCACTCCCACTGTTGTCTCACTTCACGCGAAATCGTTTATGGTGCTTTTTATTGCAGCCACCACCACAAAACCTAGCTCTACAAAGACAGGACATCACTGAAAGAAATGAAGAAGGATGGTGATATATTGAAGCTGTGAATTACAAGCAAGTAGTTTGTAGGGTGCTTGAAGATGCAAGTATCACCGTGTTTCCCAGGAAGATATAAATACCCTACACTGACCTGGGGGCACTTCGGTGTAGTATGGGAACTGCAGCATTAGTCTGCATTTTAGGGAGTCTTACTATTGGAATGTTTATGGGTCAATGAGACTGGGTTGCCAGTGTTTTTGCCTCCTTGGTATGGTTCCAGTACCACACAGAATATTAGCTATTTTATGTTTCCTCTTCTGTGAAATGTGGGGAAAAATTTAAAGTAATCAAATTTTCAAGAAAACATTTTAGTGGTTATAGGACTGTTCGGATTTTCTGTGACTTTGATTTGTTTGGTTTGGTTTGATTGATTTGGTATATTTTTATCTGGTACTTTGTCCTACCAAAATTTTCAACATTATTGGAAAAAGTGGATTAATAGTCTTGTATTTTTAGTATATTCTGCATTTGTAGTTACATCTCAATAAATTTCTAATAGCATTTGTCATTACCTTTTTTAGTTTTTACATTTGGCCTCGTTGATTCTTCTAAATTTTTGTTCTTTATTACTTCCTGCCTTTTAATTTATTAGGGTTTACTCTATTGTTCATTTTTTAAGTAAAGTTACTTACTTGGGTTTAGACATTCTCTTTTGTAAGTAAGCTTTTAAGATTCTAAATTTCTAAAGGTCACTTTAGCTGTTTCACATATTTTAATATGTAATTTCAGGTCCACTCAGTTCTAAGTATATTCTAATTTCCATCATGATTTTTCCTTAAGTCATTTGGTTATTAAGAAAAATGTTTTTAATTTCTAAACTGAGTTTTATCTTTTTGTCATTTCTAAATAATTTGCTTTGTCAGAGATGTGTTGTGTGAATGAATACTTTAAATTTGATGACTCATACTGTACCTAATTTTTTATATAAGCCAATTTTTATAATTGTTTTAAATCCTCAAATGTTCTGTATCCCGAATTTTTTTGGATTCTTTGGTATCAGTTATCAAAAGAATGTTTTAAAATCTTGATTTATGGTTGAAGATTTGTTTTATTTATCCTTGAAATGTCAGTTTTGCTCACATATTATTTTGAAGCTCTCTTGAATCAGAGATGTGGGTACGGGTTGGAAATTACATCTTCCTGGGAGGAACTTGGCATATACTTTTTGCTCCAAAGTCCACTTTGTGATATTTTTGATAACAATTTTGGTTGGTGTATATCTATTTCCATCTTTTTTATTTTTTTACTTTTTAACCTCTCTCCATCTTTAAGTCTTAGGCATATCACTTATAAATGGCATGTAGCTGAATTTTGTTTTCTAGCCAGTCTGGATAGGAAGTTAATATTTTTTCTTTCTTTTTTAATGTAAAGGATTTTGGTTGACCTGAAAAAAGAAGTTTGGTATCAAAAATGTCATGACCCCGTATGTAAAGCAGAAAACTTCAAATCTGACTGTGAGTTACTGCTTTTTGCATTTACCACAAAGTAAAAATTAGGTATCTATATAAAATAGCTTTACTGTTTCTGATTTAGGTTTTCCATTACCTGCTGAAGTATGTCTCCGGTTTCTTCTCAAACAGGTAAGGGCAGTTTGTAGTTTCCTTCTCATTACTAACTAGTTCTTGGTACAACAGTAAATGGCTGATGGTGTCCACATGTGTCCACACAGCATTTAAACTGAGTTTGGTACCTTGTTTTCACTTAGGAATATGTTGTGATCGTCCCATCTCAGCACATATCTGATAAATGAATCTCATGTTTTTCTACTGCTGCATGGGAAACTGTTAACCTGCTTAACCAGCTTCATTTTTCTCTCCTCGGTACATATTTCTCATTTAGTTAAGTTTCTCATTTTTTGCCTTACAAAGTATCCAAATACTCATGTTTATGTTTCTGCTCAGGAAGAATTTCTAGTACAATTGTAGTTTTTAAACATTTTTAAAAACAAGTTTTAACCTGTAGAAACATGACACAGGACAAGGAACCCTCCTGTATGCCCTTTATCTAGGTTTGCCCGTTTGTTAGCATTTGGCTACACACGTTTTCTCTCTCTGCTGTACACATTACACATTATTTTTGATGAATCTTGTCTTAGGCATTTTAGGCTGCTATAATAGAATACTTAGCCCGAGTGACTTACAAACGACAAATTTCTCACAGTTCTGGAGACTGGGAAGTCCAAGGTCAAGGTGCTGGCTGACTCAGGTCCGCTTCTTGGGTCACTGAGATGTCGTCACAGGGTAGAAGGGATGAGAGAGCTCTGTGGTCTTTTGTAAGGGCACTCACCCCACTCATGAGGGTTCCGCCCTCGTGATCTAATCACCCATCAAAGACCTCACCTCCCATACCATCACATTGCGGGGTTGGGGGGGACATAAACGTTCAGTCCATAACAAGTCTCTTGAGATTAAGTTGCAGGCATCAAAACCCTTCTCCATCCCTTAACACGTTGATCACCATGTCACCCAAAACTGGGCGACGGTTGTGTTTCTTCTGGGGCACCTGATCCACGATGGGCAATCAAAGTGTTAACATTTAAGCATGTAGCTGGAGAAGGACATTTTTGTATAGCTATAGTGAAATTATTAAGTTCAGGAAATTTAATATTGATATAGTACTATAATATACATAAATCCAGTCATACTTTGACAGTTGTCTCAAAACTGTTCTTTACAATTTTTTTAATCCATGTTAATTTTTAAAATACTTTATAAATAGAAAAGTAAGTCTGTTAAGATAGCAGATACACTTTCCAGTTTGCCTTCAACAGGACTACCTGCTTATTAAAACAAAAAAATCAGTCTACTGTTGCTTTAGCCCTGTCTGTGCACACTGGAAAGAAGTAACCACAGGAACTGGAGGCATTTCCAAATTTGGAGTTTCAAGAGTGTCTGGACCACTCAAAGGCAGCAACAATGAGCCCGTTCCTGTGGTGACTGTACTGGAGACAGTATCACCCAGAGTATTCATTTTAGTGTCCACTGAAGAACTAAAATCCTTAATTCAATGTAGCTCAAATATGTGGTGAAATTATTACACATTCTTTCTGACTGAATAACTGGTATTCTCTATTCCACTCGCCCTCGCCCTCTGAAACTAAAGGAAGAGGAGGAGTTTCCAGCAGATGACGCAACAAACAGTGAAACCAAGAATCCTCATGAACCATCATCTAGGGCGTTGCCAAAAGGTACATTTTCTGATGCTCACTGGGATAATGGCATTGATGACACTTATTTTTTGGAGGCTACCGAAGATGCTGAATTCGCAGAAGCTGCAGAGAGCAGTTTTGTTGGTTATAATGGAGTGGATGAAATTTCTGACGAACTAATTATAGAAGTATTACAAGAATAGCTAATCATGGACACTTACATAACTGGGCTATATAATTACTTGAAGACATTTAATAACAAATTATAGTAACTTACTAAACTGGTTATATCAACTAAGTTTTATCGCTTTGCTACTAATTCTTTTAATGAAGTAAAACACTTTTATTGAAAATTAGCCCCAGTGTGCTGAAATTCAGTAGAAATCTCCTTATTTGAGTAACTGAAGTTAAGTCTATGTTCATCCCAGCTTCATTTTGCATGTATATTTATAGGGTAAAACATTTTATATGTCTTGGGCCAATTAGGTATCAACATTTTAAAACTCATTACAGTCTCTTAAACTACTACCCAGTCATCTAATTTTAATGACAAAGAATATTGAAATTTGGTGACTAGACCATATAGCTAGCTTGGAAAACTAATAGTAATAAAAAAAATCTCCTTTGTGGAGAAGTACATATCCCTTTTTTAGTTTTTATTACAAAAGTGGCTTCAGAATGCAACAAGCAGTAGCATGAAACGAATCTTTGTATGTGCACATTTCAGTACACTGATCTCATTTCTGCTCAAGGAGCTTCTCCAACTGATAGTTGATATTTTGCAGATGGTTTTCAGCTCCCAAAAGGGGTCTTGCTTTGAATAGCAGAGCTGGAAGGCTGGATGAATCATACTGTTGAAGGAAAATTTTTAGATTAATGTTAAAAACTTACAACCCTATCCATTTTACATAACAAATGCCAATGTTAATTTGGCTTTTCATGAATCAGTTTTCAGTTTTTTTTTTTTTTTTGAGGAAATTGGTTTTGATCCATTTCCTTAGGACAAATGATAAAGCTTGACCAGAAGCCCAGTTAGTTCAAAGAACTGCAGCATCTGAATTATTTAAAGCAAAGTCGTTCCTGGGACAGGTCAAGACTTGATTTGGGGCAAGTCAGCTAGAGCTCTGTGATGTCTGCTTGATCTCAATACCTATTTTAAACACAGAAAATGATATGGTAGATTTACTTTTACTGCAGTTGAGAACACTAGGCCATAAAAATTCATGAGAAAAAAAATCCATCATCTAGAAACAATTACTTACGGAAAATCAATTAAATGTCTTACAAGCTGCCAACCCAAATGTCCTTAATGACTAAAGACAATTAAATACCAACCCAACATAAAATAGAAAACTCATGATTTTGAAATTAAAACTTAATAGTGCAAATTTTATCTAAGGGTGAATGCTATCTAATATGTTTTCAAGGTGGTTTTCTTTAAAATAAAATGGAGCAGAAAAGCTCTACCACCCACATAATGAATTTTCCCAGAATATCATCTACCACATTATTAGGCAATTATTTGAGAGCCTAATGTGTTGGCGCTACCACAGGACACCTGCTTGCAGGGAGAACTAACATTTGGTGCTAGATTTTTAGTTTAGGAAGAGTTAAGACATATACCCCAATAGCTACACTCTCTAAAGCAAAACAGACATACACTACAGTAGAAGTCCATGATGTCTGCAGTAAAAGCCACATATTCCAAACATGGCAGTCGCTAAATCTAGTTCTCACCAACGTTGTTTGTTATGTTCAAATTCAACCAGTATTATCACTGATCAAATTTAACCATTATTATTATTGTTGTAATTTCTCCTAGTAACCAAATCCCCAACTCCAGATAAGCTTTAGACCAGTTGGGTACTGTCACAGAAAATTTTTTAAAAACCTCAGGCTCAGGAGAATTAACTTCTAGATCAGTGTAAAAACTTTTACTTCTAAAATTGAACTTAAGAACAAGTCTATGTGTACATTGTATATTTTATATAAAATTATGGTATACAAGTATGTAATTTTTTCCTGTTTAAAACATTTCTATTAATCTGAGCTGGTTATCACAACAGTAGTAAAATCTGCAGCAAAAATCGGAAGCAACTACAAAGGTTTTAATAAACTGGTACTTCAGCGTGCAAGTGTGCCATCTTCTGAAGCACAGTGACAAGCAAAAATTGAAGTTACCGTTTCCTTGACATTTGGGTCTTTCTCTTGAGTATCTGAATAATCTTGATGAAGCTGTTTTAGGTTAGACAAGAAATATGCTGCATTCCTAAGGGAAGAGTTTCTCTCCTTAAGTTCATCATACTTTATTTGTAGTTGTTTCAGCTCTGGTTCTAACCTAAAACAAACAGAAAATGTTTTCCTCAAAATAAATGACAAAGTCTAACAAACAGTCTGCAGTGTATGCGATAGAATGTGTAAGTATACTGAAGTAAGGAAACGGGGAGTGGGCTAGATGGTTTGAGATATCTTGGGCTCTGTGGTTATGAATGTAAAAAAGATACTAGATTTCAATTTAAATTATAGGAAAAACTCTGAAGTACGACATGCAATGAAGCCCACAAAAGAATATGCCTTACGTATCCTAAAATGTATCATGTCATTTTTAGGGTCTTGGGGACTAAAATGAATTAAAACATATACTTGGGTGAACATTTTAGAGCCTCAGGCAGAGATAGGCATTGCAGTTAAACAGCAGAAGGATGGACAAAATCCTTCCCGCTGCTCCTTCCTCTTGAAGTTTTGTCCATTTCCAAGGTCCAATAAAACCAGTGGAAGAACTATCACAGCGCCTGGATGAAAATGTGTGACCTTGGGCAACCTGCTTTTTCTTTCTTAACCTATAAAACACAAAGTTACGAACACCAGGTCCTGGCTCCCCCACCTCCCAGGCGGGTGGCTCTGGTAAGTTACCGCCCCGCGCCTTAGGGTTTCACACGTAAAGTTACAATTACGATATCCCGCGTTTCTTTCTTTCTGTGCCTTTTCAAAATAGGCTTCTCAACTTCTAAAATTCTACCTGGAAAAGGAACAAAAGAGGCTGATCTCTAAGACAAGTCGAGTCTGATCACAATCTTATTATACATCCATAATAACCCGCCTCACAGGGTTACAACGGTTAATGAGTCAGCATGTGAAGCACTCAGGACCTGCCCAGTATGAACAGCTCACACTTCACAAAGCTCCCTATCATTATAGTCTTTAATTTTCTTATTTTGGCCTGAGCCAGTGAAAGCTTTATCGTGGGTCAGCACCAGTCCACAGCCTAGATTTGGAAACCAGTACACCAGACAACCAGTTTCTCCCACTTATAAATTTCTATGGCAGTCTTGTCTTTAAAACTTAGTACTTAATTATAGGCTGTCTTTTCTGATAATACCACTTTCTCAAGCTATTTTAAAACTCCTTAAGAGCAGAGAGCACATCTGATGCTGCTTATTCTGCTGCTGCTTCACTGCCAACCGCCCGGCTCACCCAGCGGTCATGTCCGTGTGGAGGACCGCCCAGGGAGGTGGCTGGTGATGTAGTGCACTCCAGTCTTCCCCGCCAGACCACGCACACAGCCTGGTGGAGCTCTCCCGGCCCAGCACTTGGGGTTGGGTTCACATGAGTGCCTTGCCAAGGTGTATGTTTCAACAACTGTAACACAGACTGTTAACACTTAATACAACACCTACTGCAGGCCAGCCACTGGAGGCACTTTCTGTATGTTTATCCATCCTATGAGGTGTAGTTATCATTATGCTTTTACAAATGAGCAGCCTGAGGCACCAAGAGGTTAAGTAACCTGACCAAGGTTGCAGAGCCAGTAAGTGGCAGAGCCTGGATTCAAACCCAGACAGTCTAGTTCTAGAGTCTATGCATTAAGTCTCTAATCTGGCTGCCTCTCAGGCCAGAACTGAGAAATCTGATGGTGGATAAATGAGTGCTGAATTCTCCTTTGCCAAAGGCTTTTCAACTCTGCAGCATAACCTGCCTTCACTGAGCTTCCAAGCTCAAAGAAAACCTGGTATTTAAATGCAGCACAGCAGCAAGTTTTACTAGCCTCACGTGACAACCTAAATCCTTCTAGGTAAGTCTGCAAAGAGGACTTTGGTATTATCTTACCGAAGCAGTTCATCCTGGACTTCAATCAAACGCTGCCTTTTCTTTTCGATATGTGAAATCATCTGAGTGACACAACAGTTTTTGTTAATTTTGTAAGTATTTGAGCACTGCCCTGTACCAGGTGTTGGAAATACAATGGGAAACAAAACAAACCCCATTCTTACTATCATGGAACTTTGGTGTGGTAGGGAAGAGAGACATTACATACAAACAGGATGTGATTACAAACTGAGATGTGCTGGCAAGGAAGAGAAAAGGGAACTCTGAAACAGAAAGGGGCGTCCACTGCAGGACAACTGTGAAGAGGAAGTAGGGCCTTTCTTTACTACCCGATGAGCTATAAAGCACGGAGGTTTGGTTTTATCTAGGAACACAAGGAAAATATTGACACAGGGGAGCGTCACGATACAATCTGTAAAAAGAACACTTCAATATAATAAACTGTATTATCTCAACCATTACGCTTAGTAACAACCTAGTATTTCACTGCTGGACATTCATACTCTTCTCACTTATAAGAAGTGCAGGATTGACCAACAAGAGACTAAAACTGAGAAATAATAGTCTCCAGAAGGAAAAATGCAAGCATTTCAAGCCCATTTCTGTTGTAAAGGAGAGGGGGAGCTCCTACATGTGGAGTCATACGAGTTTAGAGCCGGAGCATCAGCTGTCACCTGGTCCAGTGAACAGGGGAAAGGAGGGCCTCACTTCTCCTTGCACACCTGGTGGTGTACAGTGCACCAAAGTACAGTGAACAAGGACAAGAAAGGAAGTCTCCTGACCCTTAACCCAGTATTCTTCCCAATGAGGCAGTTCTTTAGTCTGAAAGGCTTTGTTTCTGACATCCATGAAAGAAATGTACATCACTTAACACTTTTCCATGTCACTGGTCATCCAGGGCTTGGTAGCCATTTTCAGGCCAGCTGGGACCCACATTCCTCAGCTGGCATGAATAGCACTCCCCTGATCAAGCACCAGATCAAGTCAGCCTGACTACAGAGAAAATACCTTTTACAAACTCTGAAGGTCATAAACCCAGTCAGGCTTCACTTAACTATACATGTTTGTGTTCTAATCACACAAGTGATTTACCTTAGTGTTCTTCCTTTTCAGAGTTTTCAACATCTGGACTTCTTTAAGCTACACAAAATAAAATAAATATTCACATGCATTTTCCAAAATTAAATGTTTATCAGTTCACAAAATAGAACGTCTTGTTTAAAAGCGTGTGAAATATGGACAGTTCTGATGCATTCTTTACCACATTGCCAGCAAACGCAAACTTTTCTAAGATGACAGTATGCTGCCTCAGGATTAGTAAAAAATACTTAGACCAACAAATTTATGTCAACTTACCATTTTGATGAGTTCTTCTTTCAAAGTGGAATGAAATTTGTTGATGGCTTCCTTACAAAGTCTAGAGTCTATTTTTTGTCTGTAGCAGAATTTAAAAAAACAAAGTCAAACCCAGTATCATATAAAGAATTTTGGAAGGGGTGTTTTGGATGTTTAGCACATCCACAGACACACACAATTTGGTATACGCCATTTTGATTATCTAAGATGGCACGGTCAGCTTACAGCCCTTACTCAGATTTAAAAAAATACTGGGAACATCTCAACAAAAGAAAAGAACAGGAAATACTTCCCCCTAAACCCTCATGTATGTGGTCAGCACTCCCCGACGCTGACCTCATCTACAGGTGACACCAAGCCACGTGGAAAGCAATGTTTACAGCCAATCCCAGTCTTCCTGCTGCCTGATCCAATGACCAGCAGACTTGCACTTCTTCCTTCCTGCCCCCCCAACCCCGCCCCGAGACAACTGGAGAAATAACTGTGTAACTCATTTGGACTAACCAATGATCATGTAAATAGCAAGAAGCCAACAGTTCTTCAATATAAAGCTGACCCAAAGAAGCCGGTCGCGGTCCCTGTCATCAGGGAGAAAGGGGCCCAGTCCCCCGGCCTGGCTCACGCAGCCGGATGGCGGACCTGCAGTGACCACAGCAGTAGCAGACGCTCTGCCAGGGCAGCAGCTAGACCCCTGCTCTGCCTCAGCACAGTGTTCTGTAAAGCCAACGGCGCTTTTAACTGAGAGTAAATCTCTTGTGTAAGTTACGGTTTGTCATGTTTTCTTCTTGGGGCAAATCCATGAGGAAAAGTCACCCAGGAGAAGGGGGCTAAGCCCATGGGCTAATTCTTCAGACGCTAAGCACAACATGAGAGAAGGCCTGCACTTCTGAACAGATTTTTGTATACGTTCCCATCCAATAATAGATGGGTGTTAAAAAGTACTTCTAGTGACGTCAGAAGATGGTGGAATAGGAAGCCCCAGACCTCATTCCCCCACAGGGAAACCAACTTAACAACTACAGATGGCCCCAAAAGCCTTTATGAGAACTCTAATTCTAACAGAAAACAATTATGAAGTTGCAGTACCCCAGCAGGTTCAAGGTCAAGAACAGACACGTTGAAACAGGTAAGAGAAGCCATTACATATCAACGGTGATAGCCCTTCTCCAAGAATTAAAGTGTCTGGGTACAATAAGATGATGGGGCTTGGGGTAGGGAAGGAAGAGAAGGCCAGGAGATTCTGAGAGTTTGCCAAAGTTCCAGTCTTACTGGTGGGGTTACAGATTTTTTTCTTTTTAAGTTATATAGGATTAAAAATAACAAAACAAAAATTTTTAATAAATAATGTATCAATACCTTCCTCCGTATACTGGTAATTAAAATAAATGTAACTGGACTAAAGTCCACAGTTGAAATTCAAAGATGGGATACATTGGATTTTAAAAACATTTTCTAAGAAATAAAGTTCAAGGTGAGAAAGGTTGGAAGTAAAAGAAAATATAAAATCTGGCAAATACTAGCAAAAGATATCTAGTAACATGTTAACAGATAAAATAGATTTTAAGATTAAAAAAAGCATTTTTAGGAATGGAAAAGGTCACTACATAAAGATAAAATGTTAAGTCTAAAAGCAATTTTAAACATGATGTCCTAATAAAATAATCTCTATATAAATAACATAAATTGATAGAAGTACCAGGAAAAATTGAATAATACTGATTTTACATAGATCCAATAATGAGAGATTCTACATACAGACCCACTCACTAGAGATTCCCCATAGATTATGTGCTGGGCCACAAAGGAAGCCTCAATATTTCAGAAGTAGGTATCGCCAGCCCTTGAAATTTGACCAGAACTATTTAAGATAGGTTAATACGGAAATATAAATTCATTATCATGTATTTGGACATACAAAAACATACTACGAAATAATTTGCAGAATTAAAGACATTATAATGGAAGTGTAAAAACATGTAAAGCTGATAATGAAAATGCTACACATCAAAAGCTGTGGGGTGAGCGGAAGTGCTGCTTCAAGGGGAGTTCATGAGGTATGTAGATCCCAACGTCAGGTTCCTACTGCACAGCACAGGGAGCTGCATTCAGTGTCTTACGTAGCACGCAGTAACTTAAGGTGAAAAAGAGCATGAAAACGAATGTGTGTGTGTGCACGTATGGCTGAAGCACTGTGCTGTAAGTACACCAGAAACTGACACAACACTGTACACTGACTCTTACTTCAATAAAAAATATACATACATTTAAAAAGAAACTTACTTATACTCTAGGAAGATGTTCTCAAATGCAGACAAAACAACATCTAACTCCATGATGTCACTGGTTTTCTTTTCTTTTAAACACCAAATCGGTACACAGTCGGAAGTATCTAGAACGTTAGGGTAAGTCAATTCAGTATTGTGATTATCAGCAATTTAGTTCCAGGTCCGGGGTTCTGAAAGCCTGCAACAAACTCGCTGAAGGCGGAGTTCGTGAGGAAGCGCCCAGGGGGAGGCGTGCTCCCGCCTCCCTCTCCCAGCGCCGCGCAAGCTGCCACTCGGTTACCTTGCTGCGTCTTTACTTTACAGGCTGCTGTTACCCAGCGCTGCTGGTGGCTGAGATCTTTGTTAACTGTTTTCTTAGTTTTAATCTACCTGACAGGCCACCCCCTTCTAGAACACATAAAGGTTACTGAGTGTATTGATTTAGATGGCTGTAGTAATGTAAAAGAGGAGATTAAAATTCTGGTATCTTCATGAATGAAATATTATACATTTTTTAAATTATATGCAGAATACTTGATGACAAGGATATGATCCCACTTAGGGTGAGAAAAGCTTAGTAAAAGGGTTGGAGAGTATGGACCAAAACACATGCTGGTAACTTCTGGGTGATGGAACTGTTAAGTGATTTTATCCTCCTTTCCATACCTTCTGAGTTTTCTAAAATAAGCATTTTTATAATAAGACAAACATAAAACTTATCTTTTAAAAGAACTGAAGGAAAGAGAGAAAATGGTTTATTTTTCCTCCCATTTTCCAATAAATTCCGTGACAATAAAAATGCAAAGTAACATGGATGAGTCTCAAAAAAGTTATGCTGAGTGAAAGTAGCCTCAAATAAAAGTACATGCTATGTGATGTGTGAAAAGTGTACATATGTGACGAAAGATTAAAATAGGCGAATGGATAAAACAGATTAATGGATCCATTGATGGATTAGTTAATTAATGGATTCATGGATAGGTGCTAAAGCAAGTAAAATCAACTTCAATAGTAAAATCTAGGTAGCAGGTGTATGAACATATTTTGTAAAGTTCTTTCACCTTTGTTGTATGTTGAAAATTTTCATGATAGATGCTGGAAAAATCAGTTTCTTCAAAGTCACATATTTTTAATTTTTTAAAGTGGCATTTTATATACTTAAATTTAGTACTTTATCAAATTAAGCAATATATTTTAAAAACTGAAATTCCTGCATTATTGACTATGTATAAAACACTATTCTGTACCCAGGTCTGTGGCTTCACTTCTTGGTTTCTTCCTTTTGCCATGAAACATCTTCTTTTCCTGAGTTCAAAAAAAACGAAGATTTTTATTCAAGAGAAGTTTCTTAAAACATGAGAATTAAGAAGATAGTATTATCAGACACTGTCCATCAATATATTAGCCACAATTCTCTTCCTTTGAAGCTAAAATATTAATTATATAAGTTACCTAAATTAATATAAAGAAACATTGAAAAAATTAAACTGCCTCAAAATAAAAACTAAAAAAAATTGTGTGCCTTGGGGGAAATTATACTTTTATTATTTAAGATAATTATGTGTGGAATCAGCTCAATTTCTGCTCCAAGCTGTGAAGAAGTAACAGCTTCTGAACTAGCTTTCTCGCAGTAAGCAACCATAAAGTGGGGTCAGGGGGTGGCACTGGACAACAGGTGAAGAAAGAGGGGGGGATCAGAAGGTGAGTCCTGTGGAAGTCCCCCTCCCTCCCGCCTGGGGACAGCCTCAGACAGCGGCCCCGCCCGTCCAAGCAGAGAAAGGAGCCCTGCTCTGTCGAGGCGGCAGACACCGGAGGACAGCAGCCGACACACCTATAATCAGCTCCCAGAGAACACCAGAAGTGCGGGGGGCAGGGGTTCCCCGAAAGTCCCTGCCACCTCCACATGTGCAGAGTGAGGCTCCATGGAGTGCAGTGCAGTGCGGCTACCACGGGATTCAGAACATACACAAGACATAGTAAAGGACAGAAAATTCCGGGGGAAACCGGATGTAGAAAATGCAGAGGCCTCATTAACAGCTACTTAGCACCTGTCTACGCAGCCAAGCTACACTGCGGAAAGACCACAGTTTAGAGGTGAGAACTGCCCTCCAGGCCATGCCGTCTCGCTCAGGGTGAAACTGTTCCCAACGGGGACCTGCCAAAAACTCTTGGACACCACCATGGCTTCCGACCCTCCAGAGAACCAAGTACATACACACATACACATGTATTAAAACTTAACGAGGGGGGTGATTAGGAGAAAATGCCTAGGAAGGCTCTTCTTAGGGAGGACAACAATGAAAAAGGGTTGAGAAGCACTGGCCTGGAGTGAGGCCTGCTCTAGACCCACCCTAACGGAGCCTGAAACCCGTCTCCGGCCAGATGCACCAGGGAGGCAGAGAAAGGAGGCTGTGGAGGCCAAAATATGGCTCCTGATGACCTGAGTAATTCCCTCCCGGAGTGTGGGAGGCTCCTGTGAACAGGATGGGGTATTTACTCCCTTGATTCCGTCACATTACGTAAGACGCACGGCAGTGGAGCGGAGAGAGACTCTGGCTGGCTTTGCAGATGTCAGCTGCCGTACTGTGGGAGGGCCGCTAGACCAGGGCCTGAGGGCAGCCTCGAGGAGCTGAGAGAGACCCCCAGCTTGGATCGGACACACACGAACCTCAGGCCTACGACGGCCAGGATTAGATTCTACCAACAGCTTGGTAGATGAGGACCGAGTTTCGGATGAGGTTTCCGCCATGGAGAGCACCTTGACTTCAGCCTTGTGAGACCCTGAGCAGAATCCAGCCAAGGCGCGCCTGGCATCTGACCCACAGAGACTGAGATACAAATGTATGTTGTTTGAAGTCACAAAGTTTGTGGTATTTTGTTTTGCAGCAACTGAACACGAATACAGAAGCCGAGTCCCTCCCAGAGTGAGAGGCCTGGGAGACACCCTGGGCTTCCCACACACCGACGCTGACAAAGGCTGACACCACACCTACACAAGTTCAAGATGACCAGCCGACAGTCAAGCCACACATTAGAACGGAAGTCAACATTCAGAAGAAAACAGAATTCAGAATCTCAGCAACCCATCGACAGTAGCGTTCAAAGCACAATTAAAAAGTACTAGATTAAAAATACCACACGAAAAAAGTGACCTATAGTTAAGACAAAAGGACTCAAAAGAAACTGACCCTGAAGTAAACCCGGATACAGTCGTCCCTCGGTATCCGAGGAAGATGGCTCAAGGATCCCCCACAGGTACCACAATCCGCTGACGTGCAAGTCTCATATAAAATGGTGCAGTTTGCATATAACCTACGCACATCCTCCCGTATATTTTAAATCATCTCTAGAGTGCTTATAATACCTAACGCGATGTAAATACTATGTAAGTAGCTGTGAATACATGTAAATGCTACGTAAATAGTTCCTGGTGCAGGGCAATTTCAACTCTTGCTTTCTGGAACTTTCTGGAACTTTTCTGAATATTGTCTAACTGCAGTTGGTCAAATCTGTGGATGTGGAACCTGCAGATACAGAGACCTGACTGTATCTGACTTGGAAAACAAAGACTTTAAAGCAGCTATCATAAATATGTCTAAAGAAGGAAAGGATGATCTTAGGGAATCTCAGCCAATTAAGAAAAAAAGGAAATTCTAGAAATTGTAGAACCCAAAAGCACATTACTAAAAAGGAAAAGTCATTGCATGGTGTATAGAAACTGAAAAAAAGGAAATTCTATAAACTGTAAAACCCAAAAGCACGCTACTGAAAAGGAAAAGTCCCTGGGTGGTGGTTTACGTTTCCTGTGGCTGCTGTAATGAATTACCACAACTGTAATGACAGAAATTTCTTCTCTGACAGTTCTGGAGTTCAGATGTCTGAAATCCATTTCAATGGGCCAAAATCAAGGTGCTGACATATCAAAAGCTTGATTAAAAAATATTATTTCTCAAGAATCATAGACAGAACACTTATGACCCAGAAATCTTATTGTAGCAATTTTTTTCCTAAGGAAATGAGCCAAGATGTGCACAAAGATTTAGTCAGAAAAAAATTCATCAAAGCACTCACATTTTTTAAAATTGCAATTGTTCATTAATACCAGATTAAACTATGGCATATTCATGAATATGTCACGCATTCATTAAAATGTATGCAGAATACTTGCTGACACCTAAGTGGTCCCACTTAGGGTGAGACAAGCTCAGTGAAAGGACTGAAGAGTATGGACCAAAAAACATGGTGGTTAGTTTTGGGTGATAGATTTTTCTTTTTAAGCCCCAGAGGAAGGACACAGTCTTTATTTAAAAAAAATTTTTAATGCAGGTACTGGGGATTGAACCCAGGACCTCACGCATGCTAAGCATGTGCTCTACCACTGAGCTATAATCACCCCTCTGGGTGATGGAATTGTAGGTGATTTTATCTTCTTTTCCATACCTTCCAAATTTTCTAAAATAAACATATTTTTATAATAAGAAAATTATAAAACTTATCTTTTAAAAGAAGTGAAGGAAAGAGAAAATATTTTCCTCCTAAACAGTTTCAGTCAACTTCTGTTCTGTGGGGACGGCAGCCCCTCTTACCGGCTGACTTGCTGCTGCCAGGGTCTCTTTTTCAACAGAGGACTTGGCACCAAGGGGTCCTGTCTTTTTAGGAATGACTGATTCAGCCGGTTTCTCTGAAAGCTCAGAAGCCGCGATGGCCGAAGCAGCCTCACGTCGCTGTGCACTGACCTTCCCTGCTGGTTTAACTTTTCTTCTTACATCACCTTCTTCAGTGCTTTCAGATTCGTCACTAATGGGCCTGAGCTTTCTTCTTGGCTGTGTCAAGAAAACAGCATTACTGTTTAGAAAACACAAATGCTTACCATCCCTACTGTGTGAGTCACTAACTATAAAGTCCACGTTCCTCATCTCTGAACTGCAAGACTGACCACACAGGAAGACGGCAACGTGACTACTGGGCAGGACGAGAAACTCAGATTAAGGAGCTCCAGGCCAACACTCCCAACAAATCACTCCACGTCTGTAAATCACAGTCTAGACACATTACGTGAACGCTGTGAAAACTGACAGGGTACATAAGAGATTTGAGGTCAAAAACATGTCACTTTTCATTTCAAAAGTATCTTCTAAAACATAATATTCTTATGAAAAACGTTGCTACAGAGCATTTTCTCTATTTACATACAAACAGAATATGAAATGTTTCACAGAACATTTCCTCTGCTTGCATCCAGTCTAAACAGGATATGAAGTATCTTGCAGATTAAGATAGAAGGGAGAATACAGCTACATACCTTTTTTGCACTAATTCTTACGGACTCGTTTTGACTTGCTTCAGTTTCAGAAGTGCCTGAACTGTACCAAAGAACAAACCATCAGTATTTTGCACACATTTCATTTATATTCACATATGTCTCCTAAAAGTTGCTCATCCAACACGAAAACAAGGTTGATTTAACAAGGAGCTTTCCCACTTGTCCCGCATGGCCGGGCCTGCGCCTTCCCAGGGTCACGGGTCATCCCCCTCACCAAGGCCACCCTGGTCTGACGCCGGCAGGCACATGAGTGTCCCACTGCAGCACGCTGCGGTCCTGTCGGAGGACCGCTCCTTCCTCCCTGTTGCTGCCCCAGGTGTATGGGCCATCACCTGTGCTCGTCTGCAGAGAGCAGGCCCAGCCTTAGCAGATATAAAAGGCCCTACCTTCTTTGGTCCTTTGAAAAGGGAAAAAAAAAAAACAACCCTAAACTTCTGATGAGAGTTCTTTCATTTATTTCATGCAATTTAATACAACAAATATTTAACACTAACCACAAAGTGCAGAGTACAGGGAATAAAATGACTTGAAAAATTAGGAGCCTTCCTTTAAGGGGTTCACTGTCTAGTAGGAAGGCATAGACAGTGCAGAATGATTCGCAAGCACTGGACAGAGGACATGGGGACACACGGCTGGGGGATCAGGACACAGATGATGGTAATGACACTTGAGTTCCGAAAACTCTGCTCTTTTCTGCCCAGACTTCCTTCTGTATCCTTTTTTTGGGTTTGTTTTTGTTTTTAACATTTTTTATTGATTTATAATCATTTTACAATGTTGTGTCCCAGACTTCCTTCTGTATCCATACACAAACCCTGTCTAACTCACCCAAATGTTTTTTGTTTGGCCTTATTAACCCCCAAAACCAAGATGACTGTGAACATCCACACTGTTAAACGCAACGTGTGTTCAGGCTTTCCCTGACTTGCTTCTCAACTGCATCTGAGCCTCCTGACAACACTCCCTCCCTCCCCCCACCACTCCCGTGAACACACCCTCTTCTGGTTTCCCTCTTTCCCTTCTAGCCACTGGTCTTCTCTCTCCTTTGCCAGCTCCTTCTCCTCCACCTGAACAGTAGATGCTGGGTGTTCTTGCGGGTTGGCCCCTGGTCCTGCCTTCTCCCAGGCCACTGTCTCTCACTGTGAGCACTCACCCGTGCCCACAGCCCCACACCTCCTGTATCGAACCACTTCGGTGTGAAGTCCAGCTCAGCCCTCTCCTCTGGGCACCAGACCCAAGTACACAACAGTCCTGACTTCTGAGCACCAAGTTCATGATTGCCTCATGGTGATAGGGGTTACCCATCTCCTAGGTCCGCCTATCTTACTCAGTGGCACGATCATCAGTCCATTTACACAAGCCAGGAGATGTCTGACAAATAGGGTAAATTTCACTAATGTCTAAATGAAGTCACAGAAGTCAGGAAGAAAATGACAAATTCTAGAAAAATGGAAAAAGGATCTAAAGAGTTTGAAGAAAGAAATTCAAGAACTTTTAAAGTATATGAAGGGATGCGGCGGGGAAGGTAGAGCTCAGTGGTAGAGAGTGCCTAGCAAGCACGAGGTCCTGGGTTCAGTCCCCAGTACCTCCATTAAAATAAACAAATAAACCTAATTACCCCCCCCCAAAGTATACAGTGCTGTATGTCAAAATATATCTCAGTAAAACTGGAAGGGAAAAAAAAAGTATGAAGAGATGCCACTCAACTCAATCACAAGAAAAATACAAACCAGAACTAGTCTGAGCACCACCACACTGGCAACCCTGGCAAAACTCCAAGTTTGATGCCATTCTGGTCGGAATCTGGCAATAACTATAAAAATTAAAACGCACATTTGGTTTGACCCAGGATTTCCTTTAAACGTACATCCTCTAGAAACAGAGGCACGTGTGTGGAATACATATGTACCAGGAACTGGTGACAGCAGAAGACAGGAAACAACCCAACCGCCTGTCCATACAGGACCAGGGACGTAAACGCGGGGACGGCCACACTTGAGAACCCCTGCACCTGCAGGCGGGATGAGAAGCCCCCCACGCGCTGATGTGGAAGGTCTCCAAGACGCAGGACGTGGGGAAGGCAGGGAGCAAGGCGTCCTGCCTCCTCAAGGAAGGTTAGAACTCAAGTGGAACTTCAGTGTCACAAGGAAACTGTGAAGAAGCCATGTGAGAGGTTAAGGGAGGGGGGGAGACGGAGGAAGGGGTACAGGAGCTGGGAGACGGCTCAGAGGAGACAAAGCCTCTGTTATTAACCATTTTATATTTTTAAACCACGCAAATGTGTTGCCTATTCAAAAAGTTCTTGAAAAATTACAGCCACCACTGTTTAAAATGAAGTGTGTGTTTTTCCAAATATTTGGCTTCTGTTACCCATGTTCAATAACATCTCATAGAAAAACTAGTCTCCCAAATAACCAAGTACCATAAGGCTTCCCCACGGCAGAGACCCTCAGAGACACCGGGTCTCGATTTCTGCCCCAGTGGGGAACGTTTCAAAAATATCGTTTTGTTACTCTCAAAATATAGCCAGTAACTAGAACTGACCTATTACCTAGTACAGGGCTTGCTCTAGCTAGTAACTCATCATTAGCACCACAGCCTTCGTTAGGTGGGTTGTCTCTGGGGAGGGGTTTTTACCCGACTTACCTGACCCACGCCTTCCCATAAATCTGTCAAACTCAAACCAAATCTCCTTAGAGACAACACAGCTGAAATTTCCAACAGACTCCATCTCCTTTGTGATTATCAGCCTGTCTCCCCTATTCTGTTCTGCACTAGAAAACATCTCTCTTGCTGCAAGGTAATCTGTAAGTTACAGGGAACCTGTCAACAATCACCTGTAAAATGCTGTGCTCGTGAACTCTTTGCCCTCCTCGTTTTACCTCAACGCTAAACCACCTTCACTGGCGTCTCTCTAGGAGTAATCAGGTGTCGGTTACAGTGATTATAAGTAATGTCAATTACTGAAAAACTAATTCTTTTATGTCCAAGTTCTCTTGAGGAAAAACATAAGCTGGCTCAAAAGATCTTTATAAAGCTTAGTTTTATAAGCTGCTTTCATAAAGAACATCTCAGAAACCCCACTAACCATGAATAAATGTCTGCTGGAGACACGCTCATACCTTCTTTTCGCTTCTTTTCCTGGCAGACTTGAGGGCAGCGACGCCCCGCTGTGTTTGGAGAATTCCTCTTCATCAGCATATATAGCAGTGCTGTGTAAAGGAGGGTCTACAAAAGGTTTTTTTGAAAAAAGGGCAACTTTAGAAGTCTGGCTGTCTGGGCCATATTCATGTTTGTTCCTTTACATCGGAGTACAAAGCAACTTTTGTTTAAATGGCTAACAAACCCCAAACCAATTACACAGGCTACTTCTGATCTCACACCTCAACAGCAAAAAGTGTAAACCATTTCACCCATAACTACATGCACAGTCACCACTTAGAACCGTACTGTGCTCGTATATTATGTGGAAGATTTTTAACGAGCTGGGCGATAACAGGAGGTCTGGCACTCTCTTTCCCCGCCTGGTGGCGTGTCACACGTGTACCTGCGAGGCGGCTGCATTAAAATGTCAACTCTCAGGTTTGGAGTGCCTGGCCTGCTCCCCCGACTCTGTCACCCCCCAGAGTGCCTGGCGCAGGGCGGACTCTCAACACGGTTGACGGATGGCCCTTTGCGGAGGGTCCCCAGTGCCTCCTCTCCCCTTCCCTCTGCACTGCTACAGCCTGTAGCTAAGCGGAAAGTTAACTCGGAATGAAGAAGAGAAAGGAGAGGAGACCAAAGGGCCTTGGTGGAAAGACCCAGAAAGGAGCTGCTAAGAGGATGAGGGTGCTCCCACCTGCTGAGGAGACAGGAGTCCCAGGAGAGGCCCCAGCACCCCAGCAGGCTCACGGCGGGGTGGAGACCTCGCGGGGAGGAGCGGCGCCTGGTAAGAGCCAAGCAACCATCTCTTTGTGCTCAGACTGCAGGCCAGTGCACACGCTTAACGTGTGTGCAGGTAGACAGCTGCTTGTACAGTGCACAGAGCAGCTACTCAATTTTAAAGTTAGAAACATACTTTGTACTCGCCTCAACTAGGCAAAGGGGTTTATTTACTTCACTTCTGTGCACGACAAGGGAAAAACAGAAAACTAGACCAATTCTGAATCTCGTACAAGCTGGACTTTTACTACTCAACAATAAAGCGATAAATAACCCAATTTAAAAATGAGTAAAGGATCTGAGCAGACACTCCTTTGAAGACACAGGCAGACCTCGTCCTCACACTTGGCGGATACCGCACTTTTTACAGACTGAAGCTTTGTGGCATCCCTGCACTGTCAGATGATGAGCATTTTTTTAGCAATAAAGTATTTTTTAATTAAGGTATGTACACTTTATTAGACATAATGCTTCTGCACACTTCACAGACTACAATGTAGTGTAAACATAACTTCTACATACACTGGGAAACCAAAAATTTGTGTGACTTGCTTTATTGAATATTCACTTTATTGCAGTGGTCTGGAACCAAACCTGCAGTATCTCCGAGGTGAGCCTGTGTGCAAATGGCCAAAAAGCACACTGAAATCATGCTCACCATCAGTCATCACTAGGGGAAGACAACTCAAAACCACACTGAGATACCAGTTCACATCCATCTGGATGGCTATTATCAAAAAAGAAAAAACAAACAAAAAAAACAGAACAAGTAATGGTGAGGATGTGAAGAAGCTGGAATCTGTGCGTTGCTAATGGGAATGTAAAATGGTGCAGCTGCAATTCCTCAAAAAATTAAACAGAATTACCACTGAGCCAGCAGTCCCACTTTTGGGGACACATAGCCCCCAAAGAAGGGAAAGCAGGACTGCAACGTGCGTGCACATCCACACTCACTGCAGCATCGTTCGTAACAGTCAGAAGCAGCCCAAGGTGAACAGACACACAAAATGTGGTCTCTACATAAACGTATGCACCACGTTTTCAAAAAGGAAATTCTGACATGCTACCTCTTGCCGAGTGACTCTCCTGGAGGTATGAAGCGGGAACTACCTTCTACATTCCTCTTGTTACAGACCCTGTGCTGGGTGTCCTACTGCCGCTGGCCTGCTGACAAATGCTACGGGGACAGTTCCACTCTGACTATGTTTAATAAACATAGAGTTCTTAGTTCCAGTGTACTTAGACGTGAGAAAAATTAGTTCAAAGTAGCAAATACTCCCCAGACCATTATATTCATGTGTACATAGCCGCATTTTTATATGTGAAGGTATTTCTATATTGTTATCAGTACCTAGCCTGAGTGCTATTGCTTGAACTACTTTGAGGTTTTTGGGATAAAGATTTAGGATACTAACCAAAGGTTTCATAGGGTTCTTCATCTTTCTCATTTTCACCCGGCCTGCCGATACTTGAGGTATCAGAATCATCAGGAAAATCAAATACATCAGTAGGCTTGTGCTTTTGGCCAGCTTTCTAAAAGTAAATGAAGTTCAAAGTCATTGAATTGGCCCCAGCAAACAAGATCACAAATGAAACGCCTGCTACCACTGCTGCGTGAAGACAAGAGCCGTGACACTTTGGGCGGCACAGGTTCTTTGGATAATCCAAGGCAGGGCTTGGTAAACTTTTCTATAAAAAAACCAGTGAGTAAATACAGTTGCCCATTGAACAACGAGGTGGTTACAGGCGCCCAGTTTCCGCACAGCTGAACATCCCAGTATGACTTTCTGCAACTCAGCCCTCCATCCACAGTTCCCCACCCGCGGTTTCAACCAGCTGCAGATCATACAGGATTTACTACTGAAAATAACCCGGGTTATAAGTGGACCCACATAGCTCAAACCTGCGCTGTTTAAGGGGCAACTGTGTATTGGTCTTTGCAGGACGTGGAGGCTCTGTTGTGGGGTCTGCTCGGCTCAGCCATCCCAGTGCGACAGCAGTAAGCTCGGCTGGGTTGCAATAAAGCTTTATTTATAAATCTTGAAACCTGAATTTCATACTTTCACATGTCAAATGATAGTCTTCTTTTGATTTTATTTCAGTCATTTAAAAATGTAAAATAAAAACCACCCGTAGCTCTCAGGGCTGTACAAACAGGGAGCAGGCTAGACCTGGTCACAGAATGCAGGCCACCAACGCCTGATCCAGGAGAGCGGTGGGCCCTCTGTCCAGAAATACACCCGTTTACCTGAAAGTTCATAAACAGCTCTGAGGACACACAGGGGTGACAACTCCTGACTGCAGGAGAGACACGGGTTTACGGTGCATCCTCATAAGCCCCGCGAAGACGGCTCCCCTCATAAAAGACCACAACACACCGAAGGGGAGGAAACTCTCCGTGGCGGCTCTGGAAAATGCCATCAGCACGGAAGACAGTAAGTATGAGGAGATTCTGGAAGATACACAGGAGATGGAATAAAACGGACAGACTGACACTCACAAACCCTCCGTGGAAGATTATTGACGGACTGCTGGGGGCAGGATGCGGAGGAGGGGCTGGCAGGGCCCCACCATCCACACTCCCCGGGGCCAGTGCGCCTCCACGTGCGAGGCCGCTGCCTTCCAAAGGAGGGAGGAGACAGGGAAGCTGAAGAAACCCACCCAAAGAAGGAGCAAGCCAGGGCCGGGGGCGGCGCGAGTAAAGAGGAGGGGGCAGGGGAGCAGGCGGACAGGGACCGCCCAGACAGAGAGCCCAGGGCGGACCGGGGACCCGGAGCCCCGGAGCGGGAGCAGTCCCCACCCCCAGGCACAGGCACAGGCTGCTAAGGAGAATCCAGTGCCTGGGGGCCAAGCCGCTGGAAGAGAACGTGAAAGGAGCAGTGGAGAGTCTTAAAGAAACCCGCCTTTAACACTCATTTATTCCTAAGACTCTACCCCCCAGTAAAAATACAATGTGAAGGTAAAACTAAATGGAATATTATGAAATTGTAAACAACTGCTGAAAACTGCAACGACGTGGAGAGATGGCTGTAAGTGAAAAAAAGCAAAATACAGCAAACTGTACGATTTTTCAACGATGCCAACTGTCCCAGTGAAAATAAAACCAACAGCAGCGGGGGGAAAAAAGGTTCAAAACGTTAACCGCAGTATACTGGACAAAGCTGGAGGAAAGGAGTTTACTTTTCCCCTACAATAAAACACTGAGCTTACCAAGTCTCCCATACAATGTTACTGTGTGTTGCCAATTAAAATATAGTATAAAAAGATAACTTACATCTTTTGTGGAATGTGTTCTTCCTACAGTGTTCCGTGAATTTCTCTCACTTCATATGAAAGAGCAAAAACATACAAGAGTTAGGAATGCATAAAAACAACTGGGGCAAAACACCGTAACTTGCCATGTCTTCCAAGCATTTTATTTCCAAATTACATTCCTCGTTAGCTGCATTAACAATGTGCACATGACAAAATTCAGTTTACAGCAAAATCCTTCTGGAAAGCGTAACTATATCTCACACGTTGAATTCTGTTTTTTAATAAGTCAAACCGTATCACTTATGTATAAACAGCACAGCTCTCTGCCCTCAGGGACACGGACAACTGCTAACCCTGCTGTCATCCTTGTCCCTGATGTCCCAAACCACAGCAACAGCTGACTTTCTGCAGAAATAAGCAAGAAATATACACGAAACTTTATCAAGCCCTTGGCCCTGGTTCCATCCTGAGCCTGGCTCTTTGACACACATTTTCTCATTGAGCTCCTTAACAGTCCTTAAGGTAGAAGTGAATCCCATGTCACAATTTACATTTTGTCTCATTGGCTTTCTGTGTGTACACATGTAAGGTAAACTGGGGACACTGTGAGTCTTTACCGCTAATTATTTCAGTGTGTTTTTCCTAAAAAAGAGGGCATTATCTCACAGAGTCACAGCACAATCCCCAAACCAAGAAATCTAACACTGACATTGTCTAATCTACGGTCCATATCCAAGTTTTACCAATTGCCCTATAATGTCCTTTAAGGTTCCCCTCAGCGGCAATTTTTAAAAGAAAACATAAGAGAATATAAAATACAAGATTGCACTGGACACAGTGCTCTCATAAACCTTTTGTTATGTGTCTGCTCACATGTGTGTACCCATTGTGATGTAAAACATCTTCACTGTGAGCTACAGTTTAAACAAAAGTTGGAAAACTCTTTGAGAGCATTGGTTCTTGAACTTCAGGCATCAGAATCACCTGGAGGGCTTGTTAGGCCTGGCTGTGAGGCCCCACCCCCGGGGTGGGGGGGCTGATTCAGTAAGCCTGGGAAGGCCCGAGACTCTGCATTTCTGACAAGTTCCAGGTGCAGCTGATCAAGGAACCACACTTTGAAAACCACTGATTTGATTCTCAGACCCAGAGAAAATAGTAGAACAGATGTTAGTTTTACAGCCTTTATTTTATGATCCTGGGGTTCAGAAAAGTTATGTGACACCAGTCATTACACAGCCAAGGAAAAGGACCAGAAACAAAGATCACATAACTTCTTAACCTACTCTTTCCACTATTTCTTGCTTTGTGCTCCAAAAAGTGGTCAAGCTTCTTCTTACCTTAGGCTAGCAGCAAGGTGAGGCTGCGGAAAGATGGAAACCTCCGTGATAACATGTAAAATTTTTGGTGTATGCACACTAGTGTGTTTTAGGGAGGAGAGCGAACAGATTTCTTGAGTCTGGAAGCCAAAAATGATATATGTATGTATGTGTGTGTATCTATGGGTTGGGGTGCGGAGAGAAAAAAAACCTACTGGCCTATCAGATCAAGTGTAACTCTTGCTGGCTGATCTTTCAAGGCCCCTATATTCTTTCCAAATCCTTCTCTCCACTGGGGAGTCTTCCATTTTCCCCTTAAGTCTAATCTCCTTTACACCACCTCCCGGCTCCCTTCTGCTGCAGCTTTTACCCTGTGCCATTTGGCTTGCCGTCCACCCTCAGCCCGCATCTACAAATGCACTCTGCCCAGGCAGTCTTCCCACGGCCCAGGTGTAACTCATGAACGTGTGAACTTGTGGAGACAAGCGGAGGCCCCTCCAGCCAGGACAGGGCCTTGAATCTACTCCAGACCCCACCAGTGAGATATTTGCCAATGAATCCATGAAGAATATTTTAGAGAGCAGTTTTGCAGCCTATTTTTTACATGTATACCCTTTTTGATTAAAAAAACAAAAAAAACAAACAAAAGGCGTGACTCATCGTGGCTGGAGTGCCCCTTTTAAGAAAACAAGCGGCAGCTTGGTGTCCCCGCCGGAGATTTAGTTCAGCTTTATGGTCTCTGGCTTGTGTTACGAAAACAAGCAGGATCTTGAAAATAAGAATACTGACTTCCAGCCAGAGTGTAAACGTCACTAGAATATATTATCTGGCAAATAGCAGGCACTCAACAGTCATTTGTTGGACAGTTTGTTTCAAAACAATTCGAGCACCCACCCACACGACGTAATGCTAACAGTGGCCAACATTCTTCCCTCCCCGCCAGGCACAGTTTTAAACTGTAATCCTTTAAACATCACCATAATCCTACGAAGTTGGGCTGTTGTTATTCCCGTTTTACAGACGCGGAAACATAGGCCCTGAGCGGTTAGTCACTAGGACAAGTTGCACAGTGGCAGAACCAGGGAGCACGAACAGCTCCGAGAGGCCCAAGCCCCGCGGAAGACAAAGAAAACAAAGCGGCCCCCGGCCCCGCGCTCCGAGGGCCCGCAGCACTTACCCCGCGCGCCTCACTCGCCCTGGCGGGGCCATCCCAGCCCGCAGCTCTCTGCGCCGGCGCAGCCCCGAAACTCCCGCCAAACCTCGCGCCGCTCCAAGCAACCAATCCGGGCTAAGCACGCGGGCTCGCCCTCCGCCCCGCCCACGCCCTTGTTCCCGAGTTTACAAGGCGGGGCTCCTCCCCGTCTTAGAGTGCGAGAGAAAACCAGGCCTGGTATAGTAGGAAGGCGGAGCGGGAGCGGGAGCGGGAGCTCACGCCTTACACCCAGTTCCTCACGGTCCATGAGCCGCCAAGGGTTTTCCGGGTTTTCCCTTCACTCGCGCGCCGCGCCTGTTTTCCCAAGTTCCAACGCTCCTGGACCGCCGGGCCCGCCCTCAGGATGGGGAAGGGGAGGAGCCAGTGCCGGAAAGCCTGAGGGCGCTCGCCCGCGAGGGGCGGGTCCAAAGCCCGGGTGGGCGCGCGGGTGCTTAGGCGCCTGCGCAGTCGTCCGCTGTAAAGCTTTGTAAACAGCTTTTGGCTTTTAGTCCGCTGCTGCCCTTAATCAGCTGTGTGAGCCTGGCCTATTGTTTTATTTCTATCCCAGTTTCTCCATTCGTAAATGGGGAGGGCCCCTTCTGGAGCTAATACTCTGATTCTTTGCTTTCTGTTTAAAAATGTAGTATCTTCCAAAAGAACGATGTTGGACCCTTACCACACCATAAATAAAAATAAACTCAGAATGGAGCAAAAGCCCTAACTGTAAGAGCTCAAACTGTAAAACTCTCAGAAGAAAACACAGGGCAAAAGCTTCAGACGCTCGGTTTGGCAATGATTTGTTGGATTTGACGCCCAAAGAAGTTTGCGATGGTGAAGAAGTTCTGGAGATGGACAGTGGGTGGATGGTTGCATAACAGTGTGAATGTGCTTAAGTAGTGCCACTAAACTGCACTTAAAAATGGTTAAAATACTGAACTTTGTTATGTATATTTTACAATAAAATTATATTTCATGCATACAAAATAATAACATGTATAAAGATAAAAAGGAGCACACAGATACTCGCTACTGGATTAGGAAATTGATAATTATCATTCCTTCCAAGGATAACCACTTCTCTGTTTTTCTACCTTGATATATCCCTAGGTAATGTAATAATTATTGCTGTTTTTAAACTTTATATAAATGATATTTGGTATGTATTTTGGAAGTGTTTTTTCTTAATCAAAGCTATGATTTTTAGATTTACCCACATCGATGCCTGTAGCTGTAGTTCATTCATTTTCATTGTCTTCGGAATGCATTAAGTAAATATATCACATTTTATTTATCCATTCTCCTGTGTATGCAAACATGGGTTGCATACATTTCAGTCTTTCTGCTATTACCAACACCACCATGGTTGTAGAGCTAGCCGCAGGGAAGCCAGGAATCCCACCTAGGATTCCAACCCCCCCCACCCCCAAACTCACATTGTTCACCTCTGTCATGCTGCTTGTTCAGTTAAACTATTAGCTTAGAGCAGTGATTCTCAGTTTGGGTGAGGGGAGGGGAGAGGGAAAGCCGCACCTTCCAGGGTCTCCGGTGTGTGTAGTGCAATAAAGCAAGGCAACACTACAACATGGAGAAGACTCAGTTTGCTCTGGGCAGAGTTGGGATGAGAGCCTTTCCTAGGACTTTGATGCTGACTAGCAATCTCAAAGCTTCTACTGGTTGTTTCTGCTGCTGGGGGTGGAGACCAGAATCCCTTCACGAGCATCTGAACGTATAAGCCAGGTGTTGCGTCCAGTTTGGCCAGGGAGGAGGACCGCACAAAGGCTCATTGTAAGACATTAATGGAAGCATGGGGCTGGAGGCTGCAGCCAGAGAAGGGAGAAGGGATACTGGAAGGAAGAGGAGGAACCCAGCAAACTGAAGACGCTGCAGCCAAGGATCTGGTCGATGAGAAACTCCCCACGAAGAGAATGGCGGACTACTTTGGGGAAGAAGCCATGGCCAAGATTTTCTAACTTAAGATGGTGCCTGTGTTGTGCTGTACTCTTCCCACCACTGGGGGGGTGAGGGAGGGTGGTGATTAGGTTTGTTTGTTTGTTTGTTTATTTGGTGGAGGTACTGGGGATTGAACCCAGGACCCTTGCATGCTAGGCACGGGCTTTACCAATGAGCTATACCCTCCCCGCTCTTCCCACCACAGTTAATCTTTTGTAAATGTTTGCTAAAATCAACAACCTTGTCCCGAGGTGTCTGGGACGGTTGTGAAGAAGAAATAGTCTTCAGGATGCGGTGAAGCAGGGTGTTGGAAGCGGGCTGAGAACACAGGAGTGGAGACTGCGGATCCGGAGCCCTGGGGGTAACCCGGAGGGACACTGGGAGGCTCGGAGGTGCTGGAGGACATGTACACAGAGGGTCGCTAAGTTATGTGATTTACTTTCAAGCTTGGAAATGAAAAAACTCTATTGCTTTTGTAGTACAAACACAGAAAATAAAGAACTACAAAGTATCTTGGATCCTTGGGATCCGTGGTTGTGCATGGACACTTCTCTGTGGATACCGTCGCTGTGGAGTAGGTATCTATATATTAGTTCTATATTTTGGAATTATTAATTTGATGCTTAATGAAAATATAAGTGAGAACATTATTTATCTTACAGGATTACCATGAAGATAAAGAGGTAAAGAATGTGGAGGACCCTAGATAGAGGGGCTTCTCACTTCCAACGGTGCCTCTGCTTTTTTCTAGCCAGCTTCTTGTTGAATTTTCTATTCAGTGCTGTGCCCACTAGAGGGCAGAGTAAGAACAGGGCTGGAGATTTAACTAGCGACCAGTTCAGACACTGTAAATACTGGCTTAAAGTTGGTTCAAGCGGAAATTAAGTTCAGTAAGGAAGTACTATTCAGTGTCTTTTAATGTTGGAGGGCAGGGACGTTCTTCCATTGGAGCAAACTGCAGTGACATTAGCTCCCTCCCCAAGTCACATGCTTTCCAATCCTGCCCTGGCTCTGATTCCCAGCTACTGGACTTGTTTGCTGTGGAACTAATGTTCTACTTTTTCCAGACCTAACTGGCACTTCTCCTACCCAAGCTGAGGTCACGTGGCTAAACAGGTCTGATCACTACATCCTGACGATGCGGTATCAAGTGTCTCAGATCCCCTTCCCAGCCCCCTGCTGGACTCAGAGAGTCCGGTGCAGGAACCCTGGCAGGAACATTCTAGCAAAATCCAGGATTTCATAGCCAAGAATAACCGACTTCCCACCTGCATAGGAAATAACTTTATAAGTCAAAAATCAAACAAGGACCAAAGGAGCACATAAACTAAAAAAGAGAAAAAAAATTAAAGGATACTTTTAAAGAAAAAGATTTTCTTAAGGAAAGGAGATTTCTACTGTAGAAACTTGTCTCCATGATTCTCTCTCAGGCTGTGGTCAAAAAAGAACTTTCTGGAAAAAGTTTTCATCCTTGTAACAGCCTTGGTCATGCAGACATGACTTTCAGGTGGCCTGAGGACACACACACAGTTGTGTGGCTGACCTCGTGCGGCGGAAGCAGTGGCCTTTCCTCGGGGATCCTCTCTGCTCAGCAGGAGACCTGGGACCCTTTGCACAAGCTCAGGTCAGACAGTCTTCTGTCCACCACAGGGGACACGAGAATCTTCTTCCTAGAACATTCTGTAGAAGGAAATGGCTCCCCACCTCTCTGGCTGCCACCTTGTACCTCACGGTTCAGCTCACTCACCCCTTTGACCTTGTCCCTGAGCATAACATTATTACCACCCTATCCCTCCACCTCACACCACTGCTGGGCCACAAACACACTCCCCAATTTGTTCCCTGGGGTTGGAGAATCAGAGAAGACTTCCTAGAGGAAATGACATCTACCCTCTAACTGAAATAAAGGGCAGAAGCCAGCCAGGCTGGGGTACAAGAGTGCGCTAGTGAGGGTGCACGTGCAAAGGCCCAGGGATGAGTGGAAATGTGATGCATTCTGGGAGCTAGAATAAGTTCAGTGTGGCTGGAACAGAGTTGGGAAGGTGGCAAGAGATGAGGTTAGGGAGACAGGCAGGGGACCTCCTGGTCCTTGCTCCTCAGAGTGGCCTGCACAGACCAGCAGGACAGGCCCCACCCGGGAGCTTATGAGAAATGCAGAATATCAGCCCTGATTGCAGACTTACTGACTCAGAATCCGTGCTTTCAGATCCCCAGGGGACCTGGTGCACAGTCACAGTGGAGAAGCCTTCCTCTAAGTGCCTCAGCGGTTCAGACTTGAGAGCGATAGGAAACCCTGGAATGATTAAGCAGGGAAGTCATGCGATGAAGACTTGTGATTTAGAGAAATCATCCTCGCTGCCAAGTGGGGGAGAAGTGAGTGAGCAGAGACCGCTCCAGGAGACGAGGAGGTCAAGTAAGGGGCAGATGCGGTCGTCCCAGCAAGGGCTGGCTGCCGCCCTGCTTGGCTAGGCGGACTGAGGGATGGAGGGAAGTGGATGGGCTTGAGAGACAGCAGGAGAAAGCCTCAGCAAGTCAGGGGAGCTGAGGCTGCCTGGGGCAGCCGCGGAGTTGCTCCCAAACGCAGGGCTGGGTGGCAGCTCAGCCTGGGCGGGGCCGAGGAGCTGGCAGGAGCCAGCGGGGTGGGGGTGGCAGTATCAGAGGGTGTGGGAAAGCAAGAGACTCAAAAACAAGAGTCCCTCTGTGTCGGCACACGTTGCCCAATGCAGAATGTGAGCCAACTGGTTCTACACATGCTCCGTGTGTCCCAGCCGAGCACCCACGTGAGCTCCCCTGCAGCGGACTCCGCTGTCACTCCCGTGACTCACCCTCCAGTTTACCCAGCCACATGCAAAGCAGGGAGCCTGCCTGGGGTTCCTAGAGGGAAAACCAGCAGCCTTCGTGTGTAGCAAGGACGATTCTGTTAGAGAAACTTGACAGCCAAAACCATTCCCTCTTTAAAAATCTCAACGAAGGAGAGTGGCTAAGAACTTATGTGCAAAATATACTTGTGGGCGGGCGGGGTAGGGGGGAAAACCCGCTCCTGGGCAAGAACAGAATCCCTCTGTACCTGAAGAACAGGGCCGAGAAGCAGAATTCACCCAGCAAGACGCTGACCATTGGCACAAATCAACAGCGAAGGAAAAAGTCAAAAGGAAAATTCTAGATTTCTTTCTATGCCACATGTGTGGACAGTAAGTAAGGCGGAGGGTCAATTTCCCAATTACTCTCTCTGGGTGAAGGGGTGAGATCAAGATGGACACAGATTTGGGCACTTGCTCTAGAATACAGGCGTGAAAGGGCAGCTGGGTTGGGTGGGAGTGGGGGTGGGGGTGCTGCGCTAACAAAAGACCCAGGGGAACTACCTCTGTGCCCTGAACCTCAGGAGAGTCCCCTTCAGTCACACTCACGACCGTGGCCACCGTCCATGAAAACTTCAGAAGGTTGGAGGATAAGTGGGAAGGATGCTCTGGGCCAGACAGACATCTGACAGACGATGGCAGGTACCCCTCCATCCCCATTGCTGTTTCCTACTCCCCCGGGTTACTGATAAATTCCCTCAGCTTTAAATACCTCTTCTGTGCTGCTGACTTCCAACCTGGTGTCTCCTGACCGCTCTCTGTGCTCCGGGCCCACATCCATCCTTAGGTGCTTGTCCAGCAGGAACTTCAAATGGAAACTGTCCAGATCCAACCTCGATTCCCTCCCCCAAAACCAATGCCCCAGGGTCTTCCGTCTCAGTAAGTACGGCTCCACCATCCACCCAGCTGTGCTCACCCCCAACCCTCCCTTTCCTGATCCTGCACATGCACTGCTTCTGCCTCCAGCAGCCTTCACACTTACCCTCCACCCTGGTTCGGGCTGCCATCGTGCACTCGCTGTCCTTTCCTGGTCTCTGAGCTTCTCCTTTGGTCCCTCTGCAGCAGCCAGAGTGGTCATTCAGGGAATGTCACTCCTCACCTCAAACCTTTCATTGGTTTCCGAGTAAACCCTGGATTCCTGGGCTGCCAGGCCTGATAACTGGCCCTTCCTCGTCTCTCACTTCTCTGGGTACCACTCTTTCCCTCGCTTCTGATGCTCCAGCCGCACTGCCCCTTCCTTTCTGTGCCTGGACTACAGCGAGCTCTTTCTCACCCCAGGGTCTTTGCGCTCACTATTTCTTCTATTTGAAAACTCTTTCTCCAAACCATGGCAAGGCTTGTTCTGCCTCTTTCTCCAGGTTATCACCCCAAGTGTCCTCTCCTCAAAGACAGCTTCTCTGCCATCACACTTAGAAGAGGCCCTGTGGTCTTCTAATACTCTGTCAGTTGTTCTCTTCAAGGCACCCAGCACATCCCCATCTGAAGCTGTCCACTTACTTTCTCATTTCCTGTCCGTCTCTCTGCTGTAAAGGGGGCTGCTCCAGGGCCAGGATCTTGTCTTCTATGCTCATGGCTGAGTCCTCACAGCACAGGACCATGCCTGGCACTTAGCTGGTGTTAGACACATAACTGTGGACCCATCACCTGCCTCACAGGGGTTTTGGGAGAATCAAGAGAGAGAACGTAAGGGAAGAATACAGCACAACCCACCCCACCCCCCGCCCCGGCCCCAAGCAAACCCACGAGACCCGGAGCTGTTCTTACTTTCACAGCCGGTGATTCCTAGAACTTCCAAGGATCTCATGGACCTGCCACATGCCTGTGACCCAGTTTTATACTTATTTTCCTCTTAAACTAGAGTGGGTGGTTCTACATAACATTTGGTCCTTGAGGATTTGTTACCAGCCTTCCCGAGAGCAACCATATTTAGTTTTTGATAAGCCACAAAACCACTAGAAAACCAGGAAGTGGTATTAGCCTCCGCTGTGACCAAGAACAAAGCGGGAATCAAAACCACTTCGACTGAAATTTAGAGGCACAAGCGCTGGCGCCAAGAAACAATCCGCTGATATGCTGTGTCAGGAAGTCACCACCACGGGCAGGCAAGAAGAAACTTCCACAGTGTGGGGTGGAAAGCTGGGCGTCTGGAGCCAGGCTGGTCCGCTCCAGGTCTGTGGGGTGTGTGACACTGATCGAATTCGGGTATTTTGATGTCCTCCTTGTAAAAACGGCAACCAAGCAGCATCTGGCTTGAAATGGGTCACCTACTAACCTGCTGACTAGTGCCCGGCACATGGCAACCTTCAGGACATTTCAGTTATTATTATTATCCTGAGGAATTTAAAAAATTGAGAGTGAGGCAAACATATTTAACACCAAAAGCCAAATACACTTAAAAACAAACTGTTGGAGTGTAGACACAGAGTGAGGCGGTGTCACAGCCAGGGCGGCGGGGAGGAGCCGGGCGAACTGCCGGGGTGAGGCAGGGCTTTGGAGGAGCGGTTTTCACTCGTGGGCTGGAGGCCATCGGATGCAGTGCGCCTGGAAAGGCAAGAACTGAAGATGGTGTTTAGGGACTAATATCCAGAATATATAAAGAACTCCCAGTGCCCAATAACAAAGACCAATCCAATTTTTTAAAATGGGCAAAGGACATTTCTCCAAAGAAGATATCCAAATGACCAGTAAGCACACGAAAGGACGCCCCGCCTCACCAATCATTAGGGAATGCAAATCAAGCCTGCAGCGGGTTACTGCCTGCATCCACTAGGATGGATATCATCAATAAAACAAAAGCCAACAAGTAACCGCGAGGATGCGGAGAAAGTGGAACCCTTGTCCATGGCTGGTGAGAACGCAAAATCGTGCAGCTGTGTGGAAAACAGTGTGGAGGTTCCTCAAAAAATTAAACATAGAGCTACCCTATGATCCAGCAGCCCCACTTCTGGGCATTTACCCAAAAGAAGTGAAATCAGGGACTCCGATACTGGTCCACCCACGTTCATAGCAGGGTTATTCTCAGCAGCCAGAAGGTGGGAGCAGATGTCCAAACGTCCACCAACAAATGAATGGCTAACCCAAATGTGGTGTAATCATACGAATATGAATCAACTATAAAAAGTGAGAACCCTGCCATTTGTGACAATACGGATGAACCTGAGGGCATCATGCTAAGTGAAATGAGTCAGAGAAAGAAACACTGTATGATTTACTCATACGAGGCTCCAAGAGGTGTCAAATTCAGAGACAGAAAGTGAACGGTGGTGGCCAGGGGCCGGGGCGAGGAGGAATGAGGGTTACTGCTGAGTGGGTAGAGTTTCAGTTTTGTTTCTGGAGATGGATGGTGGTGCTGACAGCACAACAATACGAATGCACTTCATGCCACTCAACTGGATGCTAAAAAATGATTAAGACGGTAAACTGTAAGTGTATTTCACCAGAATTTTTTAAAGTTAAAAAAAAAAAACCCCAAGTGTTTCTATCAACCTCATTACAGAAGCGTGCTTCAAAACGTCGAGTATTCATTCAAGTGAGAGTTACTTAACGAACACCTCCGAGTTCCTAAGCCCTGCAGTGGGGGCTCAGGGAGGAAAGAGAAAGGTTACGACTAGCATCAGGAAGCTGACACTCGCCCAGTCAGGAAAAGAAAATCTTTAAAATGACAACGTAGGGTCAGGAGAGAGGAAAAGAAAGAAGAAGTGGGCTGCTACCAATGAGACGGCTTCCCAGACAGTTCTGGAGGAAGAGAAGGACTAACACGCAGCAGAGTGCAATCCACCCCAGAGCCAACCGCAGCGAGCCCTTCTGAAATGCAGCCCCCACCCCGCCGAGAACCTGCATTCCCGAGACTATCCGTGTCGCTCACACCATCAGCTTCTTCTCCACAACACAGCAGGGCTGTTGCCGGAGGAGCTGGCCGGCCTGGGTCGGCATCTGCAAGTGTCGGGAAGGAGGCCTGGAGGGGGGACCACCCCTCGGGAAGGGCTGGGCGCGGAGGGCCCGCCGTGCTCTCAGCTCTGCCCCTCAGTCCGGATACCACCCCCCGACACGAGAAGGGAGGCTTCACTCACTCACTTGAAATGCAGAAATATTTATTTTGGTTTCCCTCATTGTTTTTGGAAATTCTGTTTTGGTTTATAAAACATAGAAATAGCCAACACTTAAAGCAAACATTCAAAACCCCAGTGTGACAAATTACTGACTGTGCAATTAAGAATATACATATGAAGTTAGGCTACCAAATAGTGTTACCACAACGACAGTTCTTTAGTGCAAACCCTGTTGTGCTTGTAGAATTCACGTCTTCACATGTCCCAAAACAACTGCTTTCACTGTATAAATGACAACTCAGTTTAGTCACATGTGGCAAAGACTTGCAGAAAAGTGAAAAGCTGCTAATTTCCCAAATCAAAAAAAAAAGAATCCCTTGAGAAATTAATCCCGGGAAATGAGATTTCCAGATTCCTACGTGCTAGAGTTTTGGCTTGTCAAATACATTTCCTAGAAATCAGGTAGAATTATGAGAAAAGAGCATTTATTTATCACTGCCCATTTCAATAAGTACCAAGTGTATCTACTCCCTTAATATTTTCAAAGACATGCCTTGCCTGAGAGTTTATTCTGGGGAAAAAAGCCACTTAATCACAACATACTCTTTTGATATGAAAACCACATTAAAAGACCACGGGTGGGCCATCACAGACAGAGCGACCACACAGCTGTTTGGCATCACAGTTGTGCATGGTTGATCCAGGTAATTATTTCTTTTTGAAATGCGTGTCTTCACTGTAGGGTCTAAGGCCGATTTTCTAATAACCCCTGGGAAAGGATGGAGGGAGGGCATTGGGACTGGAGAGAAGGGTCAGAGAACATTCTGCGCTGTGGGCGCCAGAATCCACCCGCGCTGGGGAGCGGCCATCTGAGACTCAGAGTGCACTGTTTTGAGTTGGGTCTGTCCTTGCTTCACTGGGAACCTTCTGCTCCAGCAGGAGTGACAGGGGTTCATCACAAGGGCTGTGGGATGGACTGTGAGATGGGGACGGGCAGGTGGCAGGGATTAAAAAAAAAACCCTCTGGTCCACTTGTGACGTCCTCCGGCTGGGATAGCTCCAGTTTGTAAGGGACGGCGCCCTCCAGTGCACGGAACTCTTTGGAGTAGCAGACAACTGGGGACTTGCAGCAAGCAGCAAACGTCTCAGGGACAGCAAAGTCCTAACCCCTTGGTGAGCAAAACAGGGAGACAGAAGTTTTCACCCACCTTTTGAACTGAGGAAGTCGTAAATAACTTAGCACATTTATAGTTTCCCCTTTACAATTTTTTAAGGCTCATTTTGGAAATTGTATATATATCACCGTGAACATGGTCTGCAACGCGAGGTGACTGTAAGGCAGTGCTCCATTCCCTCGAGTGTTCCTATGATGAGAATGTGAACGCACGAGTCAGACAAGGATGCTCGTTCCCTGCACCTGCCGTCGTCCAAGCTACCAGTGAGGGTGGCAGTGGGAGAAGACTGCAGAGGGCTCCCCACCTCCATTAGACTTTGACGGTGGAATAAAGTTCATTGATCTGCGACCTGAAATAATTCTGAAGGTCTGGCCTTTTAGCCTTCATGGTTGGGGTCAGAAGGCCGTTGTCGATGGTGAATAACTCAGGGTGGAGACTGATGGCTTTGACCTGCAAATAAACCAGGCTGTTAAAGGAGGTTGGATGCTACCTAAGCACTTAAGGCTCCGAAGGGGTGAGGACCATCCGGGTGGTCCAAGCCAGGCCCGGCTGCATGGTCTCAACTAAGGGCTGTGGCCTGTTCTTAGCACAGAACCAGGCCTGCTGCCTGACCTGTAGGAGGAGAATCCAGACCCCTGGTCACAGTAATCCCCTCCCCTGCCGAATCACCCCAGCATCCCTTCTGCACGGATGTCTTTATGTCATCTTGTCCTCTTCTATAACCTGCTCACGACAAACATCCTCAAGTCAAAAACCCGTCTTGGGGGAATTCATGCACTTGAATGGAAATCTTACTTGTTCAAATGATTTTAGGCCAGAATCCTTCCCGAGTCTCACCATGTCTTCTAGAATAGCTTTTCTGACATCCTAATAAGGTAAGAAAAACAAGATTCTTATTCCTGTGTTGGGAGTCCCTGCGCTTTGCACTTAGTGCAAACGGACAATCAGGAGGCGGACTGCACACCTCGGAACCTTACCTTGTTTCTGCACAGCTCTTCAAAGGAGCCTTCAAATCCTCTCTTCCGGGCCCAGGGACCTACTGTCTCAGCATCCGGTACCACAATTGCTATGAGAAACGCCTGTAACCGACACAAGTGAGTTATTACATTGCTTGATCCAGATGCTCTAAAATGCGGTTCTTTATTTTCTGTCATGGGCTCCTGGGAGAATCTGGTGGAAGTTTCAGATCCTCTCTTCAGAGCATATGACCAGCCCCAGGAGTCCACGGGGCCCAGGTTTAGAACTCCTGCTTCAAAAATATAGACAGCATCGGGAATTGGGCAATAAAGATCCACTGGGAATCAAAATCTAATAAAAATCTTGATTTTTTACTTTTGTGTATACTTAAAATAAAACAGGGTCAAATAAGCAAACAAGGTGACAGATATCAGATAACTGCTTCATACAAAGAGAAAGAGAAAATGCGTGCAGATTCATTTTTTAAAAGATCTCCAATACCTCAGTCTTTCAATTTAGTGACAATGAAACCAAATAAAAACCAAAGGCATGGTAAGATTCCAGGTCAAAGAAAATGAGGTGCATCTTGAAAAAAAACAGGTGCATTTTCTTATAAGATAAAAAGAATTCTTCTAAAATTATTTACGAATCTTAAGATTTGTAGAAAGATTAACCCTCAGGAAACCAGACCCCCTTCTCTTCCTTACCACTGTCTGTCCAATATTTTGGCAAATGATGTTTCATTGCAATATTGACTTTTGTTTTCAACTTTAAGTATATGTTGGCTCGCAACTAACACTTGCTCAAAAATGACGTAGGAGGCATATCATAAATAAGTTAGGTTCAGTATGTTTGGAAATTCTTTCTTATAAGATAATTATCAATATTTTGCCTCATAATTAAATCAGATGCTTATTTTTACCCACTCCCTAGTATCTTTATTCAGCTTCCCTTGGTATAGCAGACCACTCCAGATAAAATACAACTTTGGAAATTAAAGAGAAAAAAAAACTTTTCTGGATAAGAAATTCCAAAAACACGAGGTACAAACTTCCAGTTACAAAATAAACGAAAAAAATAGAAATGCCAAGTAGTGAAAAGCAATGTGTCAGCACAACATTCCAGCACGTCAGACACAACAATCAATTCCCACTCATCGGAAACTTCCCATCGCATTTATATATTTTTAAAAATTTTATTTATTTTTTAAATTACTTTTTGTATTGTTTAATGGAGGTACTGGGGATTGAACCCAGGACCTCGTACATGCTAAGCACCTGCTCTGCCACTGAGCTATACCCTCCCCCACATTGCATTTCAAGGCCCTGACAGCACCTACCTGCAAGCTCTCTCCATGGACAAACACCTGAGCTACAGGTTCGCTTCGGAGGTAGATGTTTTCAATCTTCTCCGGAGCTATGTACTCTCCCTGTGCCAGTTTAAAGATGTGCTTTTTCCTGTCAATGATCTTCAAGGTGCCGTTCTGTTTATGGGGGGAGGGGAGAAGGCGGAGGGGGCTGTAAACCGGTCCACCAACTGGCAGTCGCACCCAGGCGGGGCATTTTCCCTGTACTGTCATTCAATCCTCATAACCCCTGGCAGGGCTCAGCTGTTGACCCACTTTACAGAGAGGGAAACTGAGGCTTGGAGTGATTAAGTCACCTGCCTCAGGCCTCTGAGCCAAGCAGACAGAGAAGGGACTGCAGAGGCCCCTGGACTCCACATCACCTTTGGCAGCCAATCAGAACGCCCCATCACTCCCTTCATCTTAGCGAGCGAGCATCACTGA